CCGCCGTGCTCATCGGTGAGTGCCGGGAACAGGGCCCCCAGCTGGGAAAGCTGCCCAGAAACGGGTGTAAATCTGGAGTGTGGTGAGCAGGGAATGGCTTCTGTGCTTTGGCAGCCGGGGTTTCTGTGGAGCACGTTAAAGTGTTTCCCTCTCCTTTCGCTGTCTGTGTGAAGTTCAGTCAAAGCTAAGTGGCCAAGCTCTCCTCTTCTGAAAACTCTCCTCATTTACATTTTCACTGATTTTATTATTTTGTGGAGAAGGCAAAAGTATTTCCCTCTCCTTTCGCTGTCTGCCTGGAATTCAGTCAAAGCCAGATGGCCAAGCTCTCCCCTTCTTCCCCTTCTGAAGACTCTCCTCATTTACATTTTCAATGATTTTATTATGCTTTCACTGATTTGATTATATTTTTCTGTTCTGCAAACGAAAAAGCTTTTTGTTAGACTTTTCAGGAGCTGAAGATGTACAACTTCCCACCTAGTAAAGACACAGCATTTATTGTAATTAAGTGAAAAATGCTTTGTGTGTCGGTCCTGTTAGTGTCACAGCACAGACACTTCACCTGCAGAGAGGCTGGCGTGGGTTTGTGAACCAGAGTGTGGCTGGAGCTCTGCAGAGAAGTGGGCGAGGAGGGCGTTGGGTGCCATCTCTGACCTACCACTCTTTGTGGTGGGACTTTCCCTCTCTGTCTTCAGCTTCTCCATCCTCAAATAGGGCTAAAAGTTACCATAAAAACCCCAGTTTGACAATGCTATAAAAGTGTGGGGGACAAACTCTATTCCTTTGGTACTCCCTAGGAGAAACAGGCTCGGGGAAGACCACCCAGCTGCCTCAGTTCCTGTACGAGGCGGGGATTGGCCAGCCCGGTGTCATCGCTGTGACCCAGCCCCGCAGGGTGGCAGCTGTCACCCTGGCTGCCAGGGTTGCTGAGGAGAAGAGGACAGAGCTGGGCAAGCTGGTAGGTTAACTGCAGATTAATTCTGCAGATACATTTTGGTTTGGTGCTGCTCTGGGGATGGCGCCCTGTCAGGCTGCAGTGGGTAGGGTAATAACCAGCCACAGGGGTGATAGTCTTAATTTCATAATTTTTTTGGGTGCCACAATGGAATAAGAGTGTAAAAGCTGTCAGGGAGTGCTCAAAGGAGTGACACAAAGAAGGTGAAGGGTCAGGAGGGGTCACATAATAGGAATGGCTGACAGCACTTGGTCTGCTCAGCTGGAGAAGTGGAGAATTTGGTCTGCAGCTTCCTCCCGGGGGGCAGCTCCAATTTCTGCTCTCTGTGGCCACAGACAGGACCTGACGGAGCAGCTGGAGCTGTGTCAGGGGAGGTCTTGGTTAGATATGAGGGAGAAGTGTTTCCCCTGGGGGTGCTGGGCACTGCCCAGGCTCCCCAGGGAATGGGCACAGCCCCAAGGCTGCCAGAGCTCCAGGAGAGTTTGGGCAGTGCTCCAGGGATGCCCAGGGTGGGATTGCTGGGTATCTGTGCAGGGCCAGGAGCTGGGCTGGATGATCCCTGAGGGTCCCTTCCAGTTCAGGATATTCTGTGATTCTGTAATTAAATGAATGGACAGAAATGGCTCTTTACCTGTTCCATGACAGGGTGGGCATGGCCTGTCTCTGTGGCATTGTACTTCTTGATCTGGCTTGTTCCATTTGCAAAACTATTGATTAATGAAAAAAAAAAAAATTGTGCTCTCTTCCATTGCTCCCTGTGTCAGGAATCAGTGTCAGGGAGAGCAGAGTGCTGAATTAGTGCAGGTCCGGGGGAGAAAGGCAGGGGAGAAGGTCTTGTCCTGTATAAAGTCCTTGGAGAGCCTGGAATCATTTTGAGGAGGAAAGCAAAGGGAAAAGGAAAAGGAAAGGGGAAAGGGAAGCGGGGGGAAAGGAAAGGAAAGGAAAGGGAAAAGGAAAGAAAAACCAAACTGAACTTGGGGGGCATTTACCATGAACTTCTAGTTAGGAAGAAGCCAACCACAGATGTTGGGAGTATAATTTGTGTGGCCTGCTACATTTGGAAGAGGAACTGCTCACAGCAGATAAACTGCTCTGCTTTCCATGCACTTCTGGTTGGCTCAGTCCAGTGACCAGGGGGTTTGTGGCCCTTCCCTGTGGCACGATGGCAGTGTGCAATGCCAGTCTGTGTGCCCATGCTGCCCATGCTCCCTCACCCAGGTTGGCTACACGGTGCGCTTCGACGACTGCTCGTGTGCGCAGACGCGGCTGCGGTTCCTGACGGACGGGATGCTGCTGCGCGAGGCCATCGGGGACCCCCTGCTGCACAAGTACAGCGTGGCCATCCTGGACGAGGCCCACGAGAGGACCATCCACACGGATGTGCTCTTTGGGGTGGTCAAAGCCGCTCAGAAGAAGCGAAAGGAGCGAGGGCTGCGGCCACTGAAAGTGTGTTCATTCAGGATGGCGGTGAAGGACGGGGTGGGGCTGGGCTCTGGGTGCTCTGAGCATCTCCTGGGGCTTTCCAAGGATTACTGTTGTGGCAAAGATTTGTTTGTGGTTGATGGGTTCTTGTTCTAGGTGGTTTTGGCTCGCTATGATTATGAGGGGGAGGAGCCAGCATGAAAGGACTAGCATGAAAGCTGTAATGTCAGTTCATTCCAAAGGGTTTGGGATTTCAGCTTTGACCATTTTTCTGTTCCTAAAAAGTCACTTTAAATCCCAGTAATTAAGGGTGTCTGACTTATGATGTCTGGGCCTGATATGACACCTCTGAACAAGGTATCTGATGATACCTTTATTCCACAAAAGCCCCAGACGGAGTGCTGGGGAGGTTTTGGCACTGCTGCTGAGATCACTCCAGCTGCAAGAGCTCTGCCTGATGGGACATGCTCATTCCCAGGTAGGGCACTGCACATGGGATGGGTGGACATGTCAGGAATTTGTGTGAAAGCACATTGGTCTGCCAGGGGGCTTTGTATGGCCTTGTTCCACACACCAGCCTATTCTGTCACACCATTTTCTGCTTGTGTTAAAAAGCTGATGGCTTTAATGAGGGGAGATCACTCTCTTCTGTTCTGAGCATGGTTCTCAGGATCCAGAAGCTGACTTTTGGCTGGTCCTGACTCGTCGGTGTCCAGCTGGAGGGGAGCTGCAGTGCTGACCCGTGCTGTGCTCTCCCTGAAGGTGATTGTCATGTCAGCCACCATGGATGTTGACCTGTTCTCCCAGTACTTCAGTGGAGCTCCTGTCATCTATCTGGAGGGCCGGCAGCATCCCATTGACATCTTCTACACCAAGGAGAGGCAGAGTGACTACCTGCAGGCAGCACTGGTGTCCATCTTCCAAATCCACCAGGTATGAGGGTCTCTGCATGTTTGTGTCCCTCTGGGGCCAGGGGTTGGTGTTTTGTGCTGGGATGTTTGCCTGCCAAACACCTGGGTTGTTGTGTTGTTTCATTAAACTGCATTTAGTGCTTTGAAATTGCTGCTGCTGTTGGGATTTGGGACCTATATGTCCAGGCTGGAGCTGAAGGGAGGCTGCCAAGCAAAGCTCTATAATGTCAGCTCATGCCTAAAACCTGAATGTTCCCCTCACCTGAGTTCTCTGTACCTGAGTGCTTGCTGGCCCTCTCTGCCTGGCATGGACAGTTATTTGAGGACACAGCAATTCCTCCATCCTTTTAACTCCTGATCTCTGAAAATGTGGTTTACTCTTTGTCTCTGGTGAATCCATTGGGAATTCTGGCTGTTGCATCCTTGCACCACATGTGTATCTTCTCTTTCTT